TATTAATCTGTCCTCAAATTTACTAATTCTTTCTTCTGCCAGTTCAAGTCTAATGTTGACCCACTCTAGTAAAATTTTCATATTGCTTTGTTGTACTTTTCAACTCCAGGATACCTACTTGGTTCTTTTTAATACTTTCTCTTTGTTGATATTCTATTTGAGGAGACACTGTCATCATGTCTTCCTTTAATTTTTTTATGTAAGGTATTACTTAGTTCTTTGAGTATATTTAACATAACTGCTTTGACGTCTTTTCTAAGTTTAACATGTAGGTCCCTTCGAAAGCCTACTTTATTTACTGTGTATGGGTCACACTTTCAGGTTTTTTAGAGTACCTTGAAATTTTTGTTAAAAACTGAATATTTTGTATACTGTATTATAACAATACTGGATACTGACCCCATACACTCGCCAGCCCAAGGCTGGTTGACGTTGTTTGGTTGGTTGTTCTTTTGTTTAGTGACTTGGCTGTACTAATTCTGTGAAGTCTATTTCCTATTTAGGGTACAGCTTCCAATGTCTCTACTGAGAGTTTCTCCCCTTGTTATATGTTTTAGATGTCACTTCTGGGTCAGCCTAAGCCACTAACTGGTCAAAAGAGACTCCTTAACTTTACCCATGAATCTAGAGTAGGGACCTTGTCCAATTTCATGTTCATTTTCTGGAAAATTGTTGAGATTTGAATGAACCTTTGCTAGAAATGATAGGGCCTTGGTGTATGCCTCTCTACATTCAACAGGATTGCACCCTACATCTACAAGCCTGACAGTTTCCCATTATCCTTCCCTCCTCATGTTGGCTATAATACATGTAAAGTTTCTGCCTTCCTCAAAATGTATCAGCCTTTCCTAATAGACTCTGATTTCCCTAGGCCAACTAAGAGCTTTACCAATATAAGTTTTAGTCACAACTTCCCCAGCATTACTTTACTTTCTTTTACCTATAGTTGGTAGAAGCAATTGAGGAGTTTAGACTCCAGTACTCGATTAGGCCACAGTTCAATGCTCTACCAGTGTTTATCCGACATTTCTGGGCAGTACAGTATTTAGGATAAGTTACTCTTCTTTTAAAGATGAATTTTTAATTTTCAAGCAGATTTTAGTTTAATCTGTAAAACTGCATTATTCTACCATTTTGTCTTTTAAAAAGCATAGGAACTGGGAGCTGGAGAGACCTGGGTTCAAATTCTTGCACCACCCCTTATTAGCTATGCAATCTTTGAACGTTTATTTCCTCATCTATAAATGGAGATAAACAACACTTACTTTTCAACACTATTGTGAGCATTAGTAGTATTGCACGCAAAGAGCCAACTTAGCACAGTACCAGGTACATAATATGTAATACTATAAAACCTGTTCTTGAAGATTTTATGAACATTGATTATTGCCTTGTGCTTTAATAATGATCTTATATAGGTTACTAATATATAGAGGGCAGTTACCCTTACACTAAACAACTCCACATGATGTCTCTTCTTTTGGGGTTCTTAAGTCTTTTTAAAAGTAATCTTTATATCTTTTCCCCAGCTCTTAGGCAATAGGCTATCACTTATCTTTGCTGTCACTTGGGCTGGTTCTAGAAATAGCTCTTATTTCCTGAGTCCCCTTCCTTACAATTTGCTGCTTCTGATCTGTTGTACACTGGGTAATCAGATGATCAAATTGTCATAAATGTGTCTAAATTAAGAATAAACAGGTTGAGCAAGAGGCTAATGCGTTTTCTTCAGGGAAGCATATAGAACCTCTTAGACTATTACAGCAAAGTCTTTGTGATAGCTATTATAGCTGTTCATAAGCAATTTTTACTTATTTTCATGTTCCTAGATATGTTAAAAAATAATCAAATAAATGTGAAATTGAGCTACTAGTATACTTTTGAGAAAAAAAGATAAACAAAACATGTAATTCCAGAGTTAATATAAGACAATGCAGGGCTGTGGTCAGGAACATATTAGGAGCTTAGAAAAATGAATCCTGTCCATTATTCTTATTGGGAGGACTTCTTAAGTCACCACTTTAATCTCAAGGCAGTTAGAAAATTAACATATATTCAGCATCTCCAATGTGGTAAGGCCTCTGAATTTATTACTTCAATCCTCAAACGGCTCTGAGAAGAATTATTATACCCATTTATGATGAGGAAATGGATGTTTTAAAGGGTTAAATTGACTTTTCGAAGCTGCAAAGTACCAGAGCTAGAATTCAAATTAAGGCCTATCCAATTTCAAAGTTCACTATTCTATAACCCTCTGGTGACTTGTAGGGACTGACTTCCTTTTTGCACAAAAACTTACTTCCTGAACATCAGCAAATAAACAATGAGAAAGTATAATAGAAAATAGAATACCACCCATAATCGTTCAATATGTATCAAGTACCTAGGAATTAATTTAAAATGCTAAAGAACTCTATGGAAAAAAAATTAACTCTCCTTAGAGGTAAAGAAAGAGACTTGAATAAAGAGAGAGGTAAACTATGATTTTTGGATGGGAAGACTTAACATTATAAAGATGTCAATTCTTCCCAGATTAATATATAAATTCAATTCACTAAAAAAAATGAGAAGATTTTGGGAAAATTAGACTAATTCTAAATTATATTTGGAAGATTAAAGGTTTATGGAGTTCTGGAATAGCTACGAGTCTGAAACAAGAAAAGCAAAGAGTGGAGATTTGCCCTACCTGATATTAAGGCAAATTATAAACCTTAGTAATTGAAACAATGTGATCCTGGTGAGAGATCAAATAGGTAATGGAATAAAATAGAATCCAGGAATGGACTCATGTATATATAGGAACTTGATATATATATAAAAGATGGTAATACAAATGAGTGGGGAAAGAAGAGGTCATTTAATAAATGTAGTTGGGGAAACTGGCTTATTATGTGGAGAAAATAAAATTAGATCCTTTTTACAGGATATACAGAATAAATACCCACTATATTAAAGGTCTGATATGGTGGGGGTGGCTCCATAGTGTAGTGGTTAGCACATCAGCTTTACACACAGAAAGTCCTGGGTTCGTACCCCAGGTGGAGCCACGGACCATACCCTGAGTGCGCCAGGACCCCTGAGCGTGCTGGGGTTGCCAGGCCCCGGGTACACACTGTGAGTGGGTGGGAGGAGATGCCCCATCTTCAGAGATCCAGTTCTTAAGGGGAAACAGCAACATCCATAGGTCAGGAGTGGAAGTAGGGGTGGGGGGAATTAAAGAGGGAGGAAAAAAATATCTGATATGGAAGGCAACATTAAAAAACTATACAAAAATGTAGAAAAATATTTTTGTGATCCAGGGGTAGGGAAGAATTAATTAAATAAGATCCCCCAAGCATATGTCATAAAGATGCAATTTGATGGGTGTGATGAAATTAAAATTAAATACTTCTTGGTTAGGGGTACAGTGTACTGATATCTACAATATACTTGGAAATGCATCAAAAAAGGATGGATAAATGGATGGCTAGAGATGGATAGTTATATGGGTTAAAGTAAGTATAGTAAAATATGAATTGTAGAATCTAAGTGGTGGGCATATGAATGTTTACCATACTATTCTTTCAGCTTTTCTGTATGTATGAAATAATAAAAAGTGGGTGAATATTTAACACTTTTCCTCAACAAAGATACTGTACATAAAGTTTTTAAAAACTGTGACTGGCTGAAAAAGATATTTGATACACATACAGATATAGAAAAGATATTCGCTATTTATGTATGTATATACACACATATATCTGGCAAAAAAATTCCGTAATCATCAAGAAAGACAAGTAACCTAAAAGAAAATTTGCAAGATAAATAAATAGGCACTTCGGAGAATGAGAAAAAAAATAGCTAATATGTGTAAAATAGGAGCTCAATGTCATCTGTAGTCAAAGAAATGCAAATAACCTTTTTTGCATTGTTCCGAAGTCTATAAATTAGTACAGATAAAACCTAAAGCAATTTGGCAATTTTTGGTGAAAAACATATATGCATATTTTACAGGATACAGGAATTCTACTCTGAGTATACACTTCAGACAAACTAACAAAGGAACACAAAGAGATAGAGATATTTATGAAGCTATTCCCTGTAGCATTGTTTGTAATATCCAAGAACTGAAGAGAACTATCTATCGATCGATAAATAAAATACAGTTGACCATTGAACAACAGAGGGATTAGTGGTGCTGACCATCTGCACAGTTGAAAATCCATGTATAACTTCTGACTTCTCCAAAACTTAACTACTAATAGCCTACTGTTGACCAGAAGCCTTACCAATAACATAAACTGCCGATTAACACATATTTTGTATATGTATTATATACTGTATTCTCACAATAAAGCTAGAGAAAAAATGTTATTAAAAAAATCATAAGAACAAGAAGACACATTTGTAGTATTTATTGAAAAAACTCAGCATATAAGCGGACCTGCGCAGTCCAAACCTGTTGTTCAAGGTCAAGAGTACTGATATTATTTGATGGAACGTAATCCAGCAGTCATGAGGAATGAACCATATATGAATATGGATAGAAACTGAAAATCACACTGAGTGAAAAAGTGAGAAACAGAATGAGATGTACAGCACAATATCTTTCATATTAAAGAGAAAAAATCTACACATACCAATGATACTATAGACTGTGCATGGACACACGTATGTCTAAGTAAATGTATGGGAGATGGCTTGGAAGGACACACATCAAATACCCAAGAGTCAATAATGATAGATAGAGAGGAGAAGGGAACTGGATCAGGAATAAAGACTAAAGGGGCAAAAACCAATTATAAAACCAAATGTAAAAGAGAGGTCATGCATGAACTTATGATGACAGAAATCACAAGCTGGGGAGACTATCAAAGCAATTAATTTGTTTCTGAAGTCTGAGCTAAATATAAAATAAAACCTCCCCACCAAAACACTATAAAAACACTTGATTAAAAGAAATGTCCAAAAAGAAAAAGAGAAATGAACCCCCCTCACCCCACCCCGCCGGTCACATGGCTTACCGGAGTACACAGCACATGAGCAGCAGGTGGGTGGGGACATTAGCTGGATTGAGCATACTGGGTGTGTCTGACTTCATACAGGCCAGGAAGGCCCGCATCCTTCTGTTCTTGTCCTCAACTGCTTTGCCTAGCCAGAGTTTCTTGAGGTTTGGGCAAGTCCATTCCCGAAATGTCAGTGCAGACACCAGCTCAGGGGTTTGAGGAGACTTCCCCTTATAGGCAGACCACTCTTTAAGAATCACTGAAGGAACTGGAAAACAGAAATTAAGGGAAAACAGGCTCTAGAGAACCTCTGAGCATTTCTGTAGCTGGCCACAATGGGCAGGATCTATCACATTTCAACATCTTTTTAATTTTTTTGCTATAATTTTTATTGTTACCAGTAGTAACAGCTTGAGTAGTAAGCATTTATTATATGCTCAATAGATGTTAAATACTTTGCATATAAATGTAAATCCATTTATTGTGTTGAACAATTCTGAGAGATTAGTAGTATCATAAAATGTAGTGTTCATTTTGCAGATGAAGAAATCAAGGTTCACTGTCATACAGTTCTTAATTACTTTGAAACTCATTTCTTAAAGTAGATATACCAGCCTAGGCAAGAAAAGATGTCCGAGAAAGAATTATGTGACTACCTGGCTTATAACGGACTACATAACACCCCAAAAGACAAAAATTTCACAAAATGCTCAAAAAACTAATGTGTTTTAGATTTATAAAGGTGTAACAGACAAGGAAAACTTGGCTACTGTCTACTTCTAGTACACCTCAGGCTCCTGAGCTATAGCCTCTTTTAGCAGCTACTCAATTATCCAAGCTAGAAAACTATAAGTCATCCTAGAATCCTAGATTTTTAGAATATCTCCTACAAATCTGGTTATTCTCAAGGTCTTGCTAATTCTACTTCCTTACATCTGTCCTCTTTTCTTCATCGTAAAAAATCTTGTAGAGATTCAGATCTTATCATCTTTGACCTAACAAGAATTTCCAGAATGTTGTCCCTGCCTTAATCCTTTCTGGTCCCCCTCATACTCAAGCTTCACAATCACTAAAGTGCTCTTTTTAAAAAACTTTTAGTTTAAAATAATTATAGATTCATAGGGAGTCACAAAGATAGAAGAGAAAGGTCCTGTGTAACCTTTACCAAGATTTCCCCATGGTTACATCTAAAATAATTATAATAAAATATCAAAGATTGGAAATTGATACTGGTATAATTGTATGTATAGTTCTTTTTTGCTTTTTATTTAATATATTTTTATTTTTCAGTTACAGGTGACGTACAATATATTAGTTTAAGGTGTACAACATAGTGATTAGACATTTATATAACTTACAAAGTGATCGCCCTGATATATCTAGTGCCCATTTGACACCATAGTTATTACAATATTATTGACTATATTCCTTATACTATACTGTACATCTCCATGACTATTTTGTAACTACCAATTTGTACTTCTTAATCCATTCCTCTTTTTCTTCCATTCCCCCAAACCCCCTCACATTTGGCAACCATCGAATTGTTTTCTGTATCTATGTTTGTTTTGTTTGTTCATTTATTTTGTTCTTTAGATTCCACATGGAATTGCAGTCATATGGCATCTTTCTTTCTCTTTCTGACTTATTCCACCCAGCATAATATCTTCTACCTCCATCCACATTGATGCAAATGGCAAGGTTTCGTTCTTTTTCATGGCTGAGTAATATTTTATTTTATATATGTACCTCCTCTTCTTTATCCATTCATCCATTGATGAACACCGCGGTTGCCTCCATTTCTTGGATATAGTAAATCATGCTGCAATGAACATATGGATACACATGTCCCTTCGAAGTAGTGTTTTGGCTTTCTTTGGATAAATACCCAGAATTGGGATTATAGGGTCCTTCTTTGTCTCTTGTTATAGCCTTTGTTCTAAAGTCTACTTTAAAAGTCTACTTTGTCTGGTATAAGTATTGCTACTCCAGTTTTTTCTTTCATTTCCATTTTCATGACATATCTTTTTTCATTCCTTTATTTTCAGTCTCTGTGTGTCTTTCGGTCTGAAGTGAGTCACTTGTAGGCAGCATATGTAAGGGTCTTGTTTTCTTATCCATTCAGTCATGCTATCTTTTGGTTGGAGCATTTAATCCACTTACATTTAAAGTAATTGTTGATAGATATGTAGTTATTGCCATTTTATTATTTATTTTTTTTAATCTTTTTTTTTTTTTCTTCTTGAAGTTCCTCTACTATTTCTTGTAATACTGGTTTAGTGTTGAAGAACTCCTTTAGCTTTTTCTTGTCTGGGAAATTCTTTATCTGCCCTTCAATTTTAAACAATAGCTTTGCTTTTACATCTTGCTTGAAGGGTCTTGCTTTTTATCACTTGAATATTTCATGCCAATTCCTTCTGGCCTGCAAAGTTTGTGTTGAGAAATCAGCTGACAGTCTTACAGGAGCTTCCTATAGGTAGGTTAACTAACTGCTTTTCTCTTGCTGCTTTTAAAATTCTCTTTGTCTTTAACCTTTGGCATTTCAATTATGATGTGTCTTGGTGAGGGCCTGTTAGGGTTCCTCCTGTTTGGGACTCTCTGCGCTCCCTGGGCATCTATTTCCTTTGTCAGTTTTCTATCATTACTTCTTCAAATAGGTTTTCAATTCCTTGCTCTTTCTTCTCCTTCTGGTATCCCGATGATGCAAATGTTGGTATGCTTGATGTTCTCCCAGAGGTCCCTTAAACTATCCTGTTTTTGGATTCTTTATTTTTACTGTTCTGATTGGTGTTTTCTGCTGCCTTCGTTTCCAGATTGCTGATTCAATCCTCTGCTTCAACTAATCTACTGTTGATTCCCTCTAATATATTATTTATTTGTTATTGCATTCTTCATTTCTGACTGGTTCTTTTATATGATTCTGTCTCCATTTTTGTTTCCTATCTCTTTGTCGAAGTTCTCACTGAAATCAGTGAGCACTTATAACCATGTTTTGAACTTTGTTATCTGGAAAGTTATTTGTCTCCATTTCATTTAGTTCTTTTCCTGGAGTTTTCTCCTGTTCTTTTATTTGGGACATGTTTCTTTCTCTCTCCATTTTGGCTACCTCCCTGTGTTTGTTTCTAGGTATTAGGTAGGGTTGCTATGTCTCCTGGTCTTAGTAGAGATGGTATGTCCTATGGGGCCCAGTGGTGCGGTCTCCCTGGTCATCTGAGCTGAGTGCTCCAGTTGTATCCCTTCGTGGACTGTGTGTGCCCTCCTGCGGTGGTCGAGCTAGGTTACTATCTGTAAATTAATGGAAGAGATCGACCTTCGGGCTGATTGATTGTGAGAACTGGCCATGACTATAGAGTAAAGGAGATGTTCTACAAGGGCTGACCTGATGGAGGATTTGCTTTAGCAGTGCTCTCGTGCCTGCCTAGTCTGCCCTTTGGGTATGTTGCCCATGGAAGTGCCTGGGTGGTACTCCGGCATGGTCTAAAGCCAGCCACTGGGCCTGCTGGACACTTGGCCTCCTGGAGAGACCACATCTAAAGCCGAGTTCAGGCTGTGCCTGCCCAGGGCCAGCTGACATGAGCCACAAAGCAATCTGCAGATGGCTGCCACCCATGCTAAGACTGGAGATGCCTGGGAGTGGCCAAACCTGGAACGGAGGCTGGCTGTCACTAGTGCCAGTCTTTGGCTGCCAAGCAAGAAGTTTGGGGCATGCCAAGGCCAGATGCTGCTTGTTTGCAGTTTGTAAACCTTTGATAGATTTTAGAAAATTTCACAGCTTAAGCCAAGACAGGCCACTTGTGTGGAAAAAAAAACACTGGAAGTGGCTTGAGTGGGCCCACGAGTTGGGTGCAGTGGGGCCTCAAGGAGTCAGCAGGGAGGGGCAAACAGTGTTATCTAGGTTGATGGAGACTCAGATATGACACCCCTCTCTATATGCAGGCTAGATGAGGGGAGGTCTCAACAAAGGAACAGTGGCTTCTGCCAGTACTTCTGTCTAGGAGAAAGCTGCTCCTCCTGCATTTGCACTGAAACCAGACAATTCAGTTTCTCCTGGATGTCCCTGGTGCTTTATAGCCACTGCACCAGTGCTGGAGCTCAGAGAAAGTGAGTTAGTCATGACTGTAAGTCCATGCCTAGGCCCTTTAATAGGAATGCCTGAAATTTCAGCAGCCCTCTGTCTCACTCAACCACAATCTCAGGTGTTTTTCATAGCCAGAAATTATGGGACTTCTCTTCCTCGCACTGTAACCCTAGGTTGGGGAGCTCATTGTGGGGCTGGAACCCCTCACTCCTCAGGGTTGACCTCCACACCTGAGATATCTCTCCTGATTTTTAACCACACATGAGTGTGGGACCAGCTCATTCTATATTTCCACCCCTCCTATCAGTCTTGTTGTGCCCTCTTCTACATGTCCTTAGTTATAGGGCTTCTGTTCAGCTACACTTCAAGAGATTCTCAATGATGGCTGTTCTATAGTTCAGTTGTAATTTTGATGTGGACATAAAAGGAAGCATGCACAGAGTTTTCTTATTCTGTTATTTTGACGAAATTCATTTGTGTATAGTTCTATGTTGTGCAGAGATTTGTGTATCCACCACCACAATCAAGACACAGAACCATTTCATCACCACAAAGATCTCCTTTGTGCTATCCCTTCTATGGTCACGACCAGTGCTGTCCAGCACCATCTCTAATACCAGGCAATCACTAATCTGTTCTCCAGATCTACAATTTTGTCAATTTGATAATGTTATATAAACAGAATTATATAGAATGCAATCTTTTGAGATTGGCATTTTCATTCAGCATAATGCCCTCAAGATCCATCCATGCTCTTACATGAATTAGTTCATTACTTTTTTGCTAAGTAGTTTTCCATAGTATGGGTATACCAGTTTAACCACTCACCTTTTGAAGGATATTTCGGTTGTTTCCAGTTTTGTACTAATATGAATAAAGCTGCTATAAATATTTGTATGCAAGTTCCTGAATGAAAACATCTTCATTTCTCTGGGATAAATGCCCAAAAGTGTAAGAACTGGGTTGTATGATAAGTCTATTTTTAGTTTTGAAAGGAGCCACCGAATTATTTTCCAAAGTGGGTGTACCATTTTACATTCTTACCAGCAATTTATGAGTGATCCAGTTTCTCCACATCCAATCTAGTACGTGGTATTATCACCATTTTCATTTTAGACTTCCTGATATGTATGTAGTAAAACCTCACTGTGGTTTTAATTTGCATTTCTCTAATGGCCAATAATGAACAT